ATATATATATAATTTTTTTTTTGGTGGTACTGGGGATTGAACTCACGACCTTGCACTTGCCAGGCAGGTGCTTATGCCACTGAGCTATATCCCCAGCCCCTGCCATATATATTTGATCATACCTCATATGTGCTGGAGATGTGGCTCACTGGTAAGCACTTGCCTAGCATGCAAGAGGTCCCGGGTTCAACTCCAAATCAAAAAATTTCAACTTGTACATTAAACTACCCTAGAATCAAGGAAGTTCTTTCTCTGGAATGCTGGGCTCCTGGGATGCTGGGTTCTCCAATGGGCTCCTGAGGGGAGCAGAATATCATGGGGCCATGAAAGGCCATGGGACTCACTGCTCAGGGATGGGTCAACAGATGCTCTGGGTTTTAGAGTTTAGTACAGAAGAGCTTTTGAGCTGGAGCAACTCAGGGGTGAGTGCTTGCCTGACATGGGGGCCCCCAGGCTGAAAAGCAAAACACAGAGAGAAGCTCCCTGACTTGGGGCGAACACACTGGTACCAGAACTGGCTCTGGGACACCTCTCAGACTATAGAAGGGGTGGTGGCAGAGCTAGGGAGCTGGGAGCAGGAGGGCAAGTGCCTGGCTCTATACAGTGATCCTGGCAAAGCAGAGCCAGGTGGTCTCAGCGCCAGGCTGTACCAGGCCTGGGTCCAACAGTGACCCCTTGTGGCAGTGGGAGCCAACTGCAGCAGTGGGCTGACCAGGCTGCAGTCCTGTTCCAGTGGGTGTGGAAGCAGGTGGTTCCCTCAAAGGGACATAATGCTAAGGGGGGTGCCCACGAACACAGGAGAGGGGACCTAGGCCAGTGACCACTGCTGGGGAGGGGATGTTCACATGCGGTACAAAGGCCTGTGGCAGGGGACTGCAGATGGCCAGGGCCAGGGTCGTTCAGAGCCACTGGAGCAGAGAGTGCTGGCTCAGGATTGGGGTAAATAAGGCTAACTTGTCACACTTCTTAGAATCCACTGTCCTCCCATGGTGGGGAACAAGAGACCCCAAGATGGCCACTAGAAGCCAGAGGAGGATCCCTGTCCTCATCTCAGGATGGTGCTGACCTGCAGGTGTCCCTCGTGGAGCTGCAGCAGCAGATGGTCATCCTCCCCAGCTGCCAGGAAGAGCAGGGCCTCAGGCTGGGCTGTAGAGAATTGTAGCTGTAGGTCGATATCAGCCAGGGCAGTGGCCATAGGGACCTCCAGGTGGCTCTCCCCGAAGAAGGAGGCTGGGGACAGAGAGTTATGGTCAAGACTCAGATATGGGTTGCAGGGAGAGGCTCCAGAGGACACGGCCTGAGCTCTGTGCAGCCCAGAACTGGTTGTGAAGGTACTGGACCCTAACATTTCCATCAACTCAAGTCTCCTTCCTGGAGGTTTCTGGGGGAAGAGACCCCCACTACTTCTGCTCCCTGGGTCCCAGAGGTGCCTGTCTTGGGTTTGGCCCCTACCTGGCCCAGGAGGAAGCCATCCCTGGCCTGGTCACCTGCTTGGTGGTCACAGCCCCTGGGCATGGAGGTGCAGGATAACCACCCCCAGGCACACTGGTTCCCACATACCCTTCCCCTGGGGGCCTTTCTGTGTGTCCTCCCAGGCACCCTGGCTGTGCTATGCGCCCGTGCCACCGTTAGCCAGGCCTGTGGAGGTGCCTGGAGGTGGTGCTCAGACTGGCGGCCCTCATTGCTCCACTCTCTCAGGCCATCCTCCAGCTGCTAGGGGCAGGGCGAGGTCTGAGTCTGCCAAGGAGCAGTGGTCAGAGGCCAGATGAAAACCACGTGCAGCATCAGGCCCAAGACAGCCCGGACTTCCTCCACTCCCAGCTATTGCTTCCTGCTGCTGGGCTATTACCAGTCCCGGGGGAGCAGGCAGGTCCAGCCCCTTTTCCACCAGCGCCAAGGAGCCAGGGATGAGAACCCTGGAGCTCTTCCTTCCCAGGCCAAGCCTGGGCCTGGGAGGGGGTGGGGGTCACTGGGCAGCCACGGAGCCTCCCCAGGTTGCAGGGCAGCGCTGGGTCAGCCTGGGTGGTGGACACTGGGGAAGCTCCTTGGTCTAGTTCCTCCTTGTAAGTCGCTTCTTCTTTAAGCAGCTTCCTGAAATCAACCCCCTTCATCTCCAACATGCTGCCATGGTTCCTAAATCCATCCTTTTCGCAGCAATTAGAACCCAGTATAACTCTGACTGCCTGCAGGTGACAGGGTCTGGGGCAGACAAAAGGGGACTCATCCCCGCGTGCTTTCCTGGAGCCCCATGAGCGGTGGCACAAGCTGCTGGCTTTGATAGGGACTATCTGGCACCGGCCACGTGCACGCTGGTCTCTGGCCAGCCAATGGCAGCTGACATCCGCCTGAGAAAGTGGCATGTGCCTTCCATGCCCCGGGGGTGCCATCCAAGACTCATCCCTTTTCCCAGGCCAGGCTGAAAACCCTGCAGCACCTCCTCCTGTTGGGCTGACGGTGTCCCTACCACCTTTGTCTGGGAGCAAAAGGGATCAAGTAAGAACCTGGAACACCAGGGTAGGTGCAGCTTATGGCCAGCACACTCAGGCCAGTGGGGGCAGACCAGGGACCTGCAGCAGGTGGGTGCCTTGTGTGCAAGGTTACTGCTCCTTTTCTTTTTCCAGTCAGGGTCTCACTCTGTAGCCCAGGCTGGCCTCAACCTTTCAGTGATCCTCCTGCTTCAGCCTCCCATAGTGCTGGGATTACAGGCGTGTGGCACCATGCCTGGCCTAAGGTCATCATTTCTTAGGAGCAGACCACAGCACACCCATGGAGGGGAGCACGGACAGAGAATGGGGTGCACTTGGAGGGCCGAATAGCTCATAGCAGCTGGCGAGAGTTGAGCATTACATTTCCAGGGATTTGGGAGCCAGGTGATATTGCCCACAGCAGGGGTGTTTATACCCAGGAGAGAGGTGGGCATGGTACACTGGGGCTCTCCCCTCCCCCAGGAAGCCTGTCGCTAACCACTGACCTGCCTGCCCGTGAGGAAGGCATCTCTCTTTCCTCACATAGCCTCACACCCAAGGTGGGTGTCCCCTTTCTGGAGCATGGCTGGAGCCAGGTGTTGGGCTAGGCAGGAACCAGAGTTACTGGCTGCTCTAACCACTGACCCGCCCGTCTCTCCCTGAGGGAGAAAGCGGAGGTCTGTTTGGCCTGAGTGGGGAGGGAGGCAGGAAGCGGGGGGCTTTCCCGAGAGCCGGGGTCTGAATGGGCCTATTGAGGGACTAGGTCCTGCTGTTTCCTGTGGGGCCAGGCGGGCCGGGCTCACACTGGCAGCCTTGTGCTGCTGCAGCAGGCCAGGCAGCCCCTGTCCCCACACAGGGCCCTGAGCCCCGCTGGCTGGGGTTTTGGAAACTCTGACAGTGCTGCTCCCCGCCTCTGTTCTCCTTCTGCCCCTCTTACCAATCGGAGTGGACTACAGCCCAAGAGCTTATCTTGGAGGTAGAGACAGTTAGAGGGGGCTTTGAATGGGGGGATGCTGGGTAAGAATTAACAAGCCAGGAGTCAATCCTGGAGGACTTCCTGGAGGCAGCAAGGGTGGCACAGAGGAAAAGGAATAGGCAGTCTCTGAGGTGGGCAAGTGAGAGGCCCACAGGGATATCCAGGTCCACCCATTATCCCCTAGAGGCTCTGAATGCCTTGAAGTAGAGGGAAAAGCAGCCCAGGGGGAGCTGGTTTGGGGGACATAGGAGGGGCTGGGCTGGACGAGGCCTGCTGCCAACTCTCCAGGATCAACAAGAGCTGCACTTCCTCAAGACTCCAGTTTAGCCCTGCAGCAGCTGGGGGGCGGTGCAGTCTAGACCTCAGTGATACCATTCTGTGAAATGGGCCTTTTGTGCCTTCTCCTCCTGTCCTCAGGGGTCCACCCTGGGGTCCCTGCAGGGCTGGGGCTGTGGGTGGGGGGATGCTGCCAAGTCTTTGGCCTGAGCAGAGCAGGACGCCCCAGTGCCAGTGACAAGGCGGATGGGGAGGATGCTGCGTGTGTGGCAGCTGTCTGGAGCAGGTACGGGGTGTGTCTGCGGCCGTGCACATGTGTGTGCGTGTGTGGCTGCCGGGCGTGTTTGGGGTTTTGTAAGGCTGTGTTTGTGCGCGCGCGTGTGGGCTGGGCGCTGCTGGGACAGAGCTGCGATTGTGCCTGGGCTCCTCCGGCCCCGCTGCTTGGCTGGGCCGGCTCCGTGAAAGGGGCCGTGTGTTCCTGGAGGCGCCCGCCCAGGTCTGTGGAGGGAGGCGGCCCCGCTGTCTAGGCCCAGGGTGGGCAGCTCTGTGCTCCTTCCAGAGACCCCTCCCAGGCGATGGGGCCCTGCCTGGGGTCCCCACCAGCCACGCTCGGCAGGGAGTGGGGTGCTCGCTGGGGACTTGTAGGTGTGTGGGAGTGGGGACCCGGTTCCAAGGCCCAGGAGCCCTGAGCATCAGGCCGGCTCCTTACAATGCCCACCCCGCGCCATCAGCAAGCTGATGAGACAAGAGGTCTCCCGGGAGCAATGCCTCTGCCCCTGGCTCCCGCCCCGGCCACCGTGCACGCCTTTTCCAGTTGGGGCCGCTGCAGACTGTCCTGCCAGAGTCCTTGGGACTCAGGATGAGCCAGCCGTGACTCCTGTCTCTGTCCCATTGCTCCTGCCCGTCTCTGCCTCTCCTTCCCCTGCCCTGTCCTCCTGCCATCCGTCATCCCTGTCCCAGGCAGTCTTAGAGACCCAGGCTGAGATCCTCGCTGCCCTGCCTGGGCCCCCACTCCCGGGGTGCTGCGATCCCCAGCAGCAGACTTTTCTGCAGCTGAGCCCGCAGCAAACTCGGGGAGCACTGCGAGGAGAGCTGAGGAGCCTGGCCAGCCACCTGCCCGCCCCCCGCGCCCCAGCGCCCGGTCCCTGGGTCCCCGCTCCTGCCACCTCCCTGGACGCTGGGGCAGCTGGCATCTGTCACGGCTGCATTCCTGGGTGTCTCAGCAGCCGGGCTTTATAAGGAAGAAAGCGGGAGGCAGGGCCGCGGTGGGACGGCGATGGGGTGCCCAGTGCGCAGGAGGTGAGGTGGGGACGAGGGGGGCTGTGCTGATCACTCATTCACTCACCGCACTCACTCAGTGCGGCATGTGGGGTGTAAAGTGGAGAGAAACCAGAGGAAGGGTAAAGCTTAGGAGAAGCAGAGCACCCCCCCCCCCGTTCCCCACATGAACTCCGGGCGCAGAGAGGCCGGAAGGAGAGCGGAGGGGGCTGGGGCGGCAGGAGTGGGGTACGCCTGGCCAGCCGGGGGCTCTGGGGAGCTGGATTCTGTGCGGCCTGGGTTTGGCACCGGGCGGCGGTCCTGCCTCCAGGCCGGGTGCTAGGGCGTGGCTGGGACATGAAGGGCTCTCTGTCTGCCCTGCAGCGGGTGTGCGGGGGATACCTGGGGCTGAATGGCAGCCCTGTGCTAGCCCTGAGGTCACCCGGCTTCGGGATGCCCAGCCAGGTCCCTTCCCTGGGCCAGCCAGGACCTTTGGGGAGGTGGTGGTGGGGGACAGGCCTCTGGGCTCTGTGTGCGGCTGCTGGTCCCAGCTGGACAGCATCCTGTGGACGGTGTGGAGGGGGAGGCAGGGCGCACAGTCTGGCCTCTGGGTACTGAGCAGGGCCTAAGGGTGCCTTCCTGTCATGTCAGCCACCACCCTGGGGCACTCAGCAAGGGTGCCAGCCCTAGTAAACCCCTCCCCAGAGCCCTGAGGCTCAGCTACCCCAAACCGAGCCAACACCAACTGTCATACTGAGGGCACCAAGGGAAGGCTATGGGGAACAGACTTCAGGTCAGGCAAAGGGACAGTGCAGCCTTCCCCAGGGTGACACTGCAGTCACCAGAGCCAAGGCTGGTCAGCTCCCTGCCCTCCAGAGTGGCTGCCTGGGAGCTGCCCTCGCACCCACAACCTCCGTGATCTCTGCTTGCTGCCCTCCTGCACCCCTGGTTCCAAATAAGGTTCCTAAAACAGGGCCATCTCAGCCCTGAGCCTTGCTGGTGCCGGCCTCATAGCTGCTGCATTTGAGCATCGGCAGATTGGTTCAGAGCCAGTGCCCACCCCTCTCAGGGCACAAGCCCTCCTTTCTAGGGCTGGGACATTGGGCCAGGTGCTTGAGGACAGGAGACTGCTGGAACAAACAGGACTGAGACCTCTCTGTGCTGGGGTCATGATGGGCTCATCTCTCCTCACCCCAGAGGCTCTTGAGCTACAAGAACCACATCCAAGGTTCCTGACCTTCTGCTTGGTGCCCTTC